TATATATATTTTTTTTTTTTAATTGTCAAACTACTTTCCAAATGACTGTGCCACTTGAAATTCTTCCCAGTGTTGTATGAGTGATCCATTTTTCTCAACTCCACAGTGGTTTTGTCATTTTTTTTAAATGTTAACCATTCTGATAGGTGTGTAGTGATATCTCTTCATGAATTTAATTATGCCGAACATCTTTTCCTGTGCTTTTTCTCCATCTGTTTACCTTCTTCAATATTGCAGAGCTTATGGGTATTCTGCTAAAAACATTTTATGTAAAAACAGTGTTCTATTTTCACTAGAAAACTGTTTCACAGATGAGGAGGTTGCTGCACAGATAGGTTAAATATCTCGAAGCCAAGTAGCCATGTTACAATAAGAATTCAAATCCAACTGACTCAAGAGGTCACATGAGTCTAGGACAGTGAGGTCCTACAACTGTTCCTATATGGAGAAGCTCCTTCCCTTGATAATCTTGCAGAGCTGAAATTCAATCTTACTAACAAAGTTTATAATTTCCCTTGAAGTCACCTGTAATAGTTATTTGAATGCTTATCTTTTATTTTCCACTTCAAGGAAAGAGCCTATATCTGACTACCAGTTAATTCTCACAGACTGTGGCAGTGGAGAAGTTTTTTAAACTTTACTGAATTAATAAATTATAGTTGTTTCCCTCCCACACACACACCCCAGATGGGGAAAAGAGAAAAGATGACCTGAGATTACAGTCTCTCTCTCATTTACTTATTTAACAAGTAATGTTTGAACCTGTATTGGGGAAAGGTTACTAGGTACTTGGTTAGGTATGGACAACAGAGAATGAAAGAGACCTAAGCCCAGCTCTCACAACATTTAGATTTTAATAGGATAGACAGGAATTAATCAAATAACCACACCAATAATTGTGTAACAACAAACTCTGATAAATACATAAAAATAAAAAAGAGTGAGATGAGAGCTTGAAAGAAGACCTGATACCTGATTTTGAATGTGGAGAGGATAGGCAAGAAAGATTCTTTAAAGAGCTCTTTGAAATGATCTCTTAAAGTATAATTTCGAATTGACCAGATGGAAGGGGTGTGTTGGGAGATGTTTCATTGTTTCATACAGACGGCACAGATTTTGAATATATGAAGTTTAAGAGACATAAAAGAGTTTGCTAGATTGGAGACTGACAGAAGGTACGGAAAACCTGTATTTTTAAAGAGCTTTTTGAATAATTCTTATATATAACCAAGATTATGAATAATTGTTTTTAGGTATTCAATGAGAAATATGAGGTATCCTCATGCCATCATCCCTTTGTAGTGAAGCAAAGAGAGAGAAAACATTTTCATAGAGAGCTCAGGGAGCCTTCCTGAGTTATGGAATAGTTACCTTTATGTATAATAGATTGCACTCAATTATTTCTAAAATACCACAGTTGATAGATTCTAGGAAGAATAGAATTTTTTCCACCTACACAGCAATTGCATGGACAGACTTCATCTCATGTAACTAATTTTGAACTCTAGAGTCTATTGAAGGCTTGTAGCTTCCAGAGGAAAGCTTGGATGGTAAACTACAGTTCCTTTTAGCTCTTTGCACAGTAGTAGCTGCCCATCTTCTGTGATGCACTACAACAGGCAGCCATGTATATGCTCTTAGAGCAGCTTTCACATTTCCAGGAGCCAGACTGGGTAAAAAGGACCTTGTCCTCCAGTGATCAGGAATGGATGCTCTGATTTTTGGTTGCTGCTATGATTATAGTGATGTAAAGAGCTGGGAAGCCATTATTACTAAACGTCTCCTCATTGTTTCAAGACTTTCAGGCTACAATGGGATTTAAAGAGGTGATACTCCTAATCCTTTGACTTAATTTTTTTGTTTTGTTTTTCATTTTCCACTTTTAAGAGCCAACCAATAAAGACTAGAATATTCCAAAGCAACCATATTTATAAGGACAATTAGAAAGTGATCATGCATATCCAGGTAAAGTCACAGGCTCAGGAAAAAAAAAATGATAAAATGCTACGTTTATATCTCAGGCTGATCCTTGGCACACAGAAAATGTGCAACAATAAAAATAAATAAATAACAGAATAAATAAATAAATAAATAAATAAATAACAGAAAATAGTAAAACCATGGGAAAGGGGAGAATCTAGTTTTTAAAGTTACCATATTCTTAGATTTAATATCCAGTTTTAAATAACAATAACAAAAAGACATGACATAGACAACAAAAAGGTATGGTCCATTCAAAGGGAAAAAAAAGTCAAGAGAAACTTCTCTGAAAAAGGACAGAGATGGTAGATCTACTACACAAAGACTTTAAAACAAATAACTGAGGGGCCAGCAGGTGGCGTGGTGATTAAAAGCACTCGACTCCCACATGGCTGACCCCGGACTTGGCGACTTAGTTTCTCACTTTCCCTGTATCTTCTGGTCAAATTAAATAATAATGATAATAATAATAGTAATAATGATAATAAATAAACTTAAATATTTGAAAAAAATAACTGAAAGATGCTCTAAAAATTAAAGGAGGGGCTGGCAGGTGGCATGGTGGCTAAGGATCCTGGACTCCCATGTGGCTGACTGCAGTTTAAGTTCCAGACCTGGTGGTTTGCTTTCTCACTTTTCCTCTCTCTCTTTCTCTCATTCTGTCCCACTCTGGTCAAATTAAAAATAAATAAATAAATAAAGTTAAATAAAATAATTCTTTTAAAAAAAACCTACAGGAATACATGAAAAAGTCAAGAAAGAAATGCATAAATAATATGGAAATATCAATAAAGAGAGAGAAAATGTTAAAAGAAACTGAGGTGTGGAAAAGTGCAAGGACTAAAAGGAAAAATTCCTTAGATGGGACTCAAATGCAGATTTTGTTACCAAGAACATTCGGAAAATCCCATTCAGAAAATCCACAGTGTTGTAGACAGTAACTGCCCTTTGCACCAGGTAGAACAGAACCTCTAGGGGTTTGTGATCCACATTCACTGGTGTCAATTTGAGAAGGAAAAATAAATAAACTTGAAGACAAGACAGTGGAAATGATTACATCTCAGGAACAGGAAAAGAAAAGATTCAGGAAGAAGCGAACAGAGCCTGAGGGAACTGTGGGACCTATAAAGCAGATCAGGGAATGCAATGAGAGAGCACCAGAAGAAGAGAAGAAAAGAAACAGAATATTTTAAGAAATAATAACAGAACTTCACAACTTGATGAAATATAGGAATATAAACATCAAAGAAACTCAACAAAGTTCAAGTAAGATGTACTCAAAAAGACCAACACCAAAATGCATTATAACGAAACTTTCAAAAGTCAAAAGCAGAATATTGAAGCAAAGAAAAAAGTGATTTGTCACATTCAAGGAATTCTCAACAACACTATCAGCAGATATTTTATCAGAAACTTTGGAGTCCAGGAAGCAACAGACCAATATATTCAAAATGTTAAGAGAAAAAAAGAACTGTCCAGTGAGAATCCTGTAACTGGCAAAACTGCCCTTCAAACGAAAAAGAAAGTTAAGGCATCCGAAATAAACAAAAGATAAGAGACTTTGCTACCCTTAGACCTACCCTGTAAAAATGCTTGAGGGGAAAAACAGCAGGTGGCATGGTGGTTAAGGCACTGAATTCCAACGTTAACAACTGCAAGTCAAGTACTGGACCTGGTGGCTTGAAACTCATTCCAGGTGC